ATAAATTATTTCAATTGACACTGCGAGAGGTAACGGCTAGACGTGTTGCGGCTTGTGAAGTTGTAATTAAGAACTGAATTTTCCTTACTCTGTTCACATTAAGAGGATGAATCCAGTGTATTCGTTTGCATCTCTTTTTTATTATTGAAAGTTAAAATGCGATGACTATTAATTCCTCTTCCACATCCAAAACGTGTGCCTGAGATAAGAAACACTAGACTACTGATTTATCAAAATTTTTAAGATATGTGTGAGGCAGCTTGCCGGAATTTAAATTATGTATATATTACTCTGAATTCAAAGAACCTTTCAGGATGTACGAGTCCAGCCATAATATTATCCATCAATTTCTAAAGGAAGTAAAAAACCAACGGCTTTCTATTAAAAAGTCTTTATTACTCTTAGACTTTAACTTATTTGACAAAACAGATTAAATAAATCATGTTCTCGGCATTCTATTGGTCTTCCCTCATAACAGCTTGTCGTTTGATAAAGACGTTCTTTAAGGCTTTCCATTTGTTTCTGTCCTTTGCTCTACGTAACCATTCTGTGCCCGCTATTTTTTTTAAATCATCTTTTTTATAGGATAAGAGTCATCATTCTATTGATTTTGCTGTCTTCCTCTATTTCTTCTGTTTTTTCTAGGGTACCACTCAGTTATTATTCTGGTCCATTTTTTTTTTCACAACATATGTCCCATCCAGCGATATTTCCATTTTCTGCATACTGATTGGACTTTTCCGATCTAAGTCATTCCTTTTATATTTTTTACCTGTATTGTATTACTGCTCCTTTCTACTAATATGATTCTCTATATTCTATTCTGACAGATATTGATTTTATTTTATTGTTGTTTGGTTAAAGCCCAGACCTTAGCTTGCGTATTTCAGACATGACAGGACAAGCATTGAAAACTTTTCGTTTTCTCGACATTGGCATCTCTTTATTATTTATTATTTCACTGAACGACCAGAATCTCTTTCCAAGCGTCAGCTATTCTTCTTTCAATTTCTTTCTGCATGTTATCTGTTGATGATACTAATTGTCCTAAATAAATATACTTATTTACTTATTCTAATTGTTGGTTATTAATTCAAATAGCCTGTTTTGTGGACTTCTCATTATTTTTATCTTTGTTAAATTAATTGTGAGTTGTGAGACCTGCATTTGCACTTTCAACTGATAACTGTTGTAACATTATTACTATTGCTATTCGGGCCGTTGTAAAAAAAAATTAATCGTCAGCGAATCTCAAATGATTCAATTTCTCTCCTTTCACGTTAAGTCTCATAAAAATTATCTACAGCACAGCTGAGAATATCTCAGACGAAAAAAGTTAACTTTAACGGACGCCGCTTTCAATTTGGAACTCGTCGCCTGTCATTTCCTGTTTTATTTGTGCTGTACTTTCCCATAAATATTCTTTAGTGTACGTATGTTTTTTCTATGGACCCCTTGTCGCTCTAATATTTCCCATGCATAGTGGTGTTCCAAGAAATCAAACGTTTTGTTGAAGTCTACGAAACTTAGATGGTATACTTTATGGTATTTTCTGTATTTCTGAAGCATCTGATGCAAGACTTGAATATGGTCCAGCTTGTTCCTTCGGCTGATTTTCATCGGGGGTGTTAGTTATTTCAAATGGTTGTCTTTTTGAAAAGATCTTATACATTATTATTATCATTATACATCTTCTATAATATATCTTAGACATTAAGCTTATTGGCCTATAATTGCCAATGTTTTCTATGTCTCTTTTTTGCGTAACAAAACTATCATCGATTTCACCCAATCTTCTGAAATATTTTTTGTTTTTATTATTTTGTCGAATAAATTGGTTAGTTTAGGGAACAATCATTTGAAACTATATTATTCTAAGAAGTTCATTGGTGATTTGATAGGGACCGGGTGCTTTTTCTAATAAGTGATAATAGTTCTTCCTATTTCCTCTTTTAGATAGTATTTTTAACAGGTGGTAAAGGTCCAGAATATTGCCTGTCGTCAGCTGCAGTCGCAGTGAGTTTATCATTTTTGCTTTTATACAGGTCCGTATAATATTCCGTACCAATATCAAATATTTAAAAATGTTTGCTAGAGCATTTTTCCTGTCTATCCTTCTTATTCATTATACAATCTTTCTTTGATTCTAACTTTAAACACTTTCCTTACTCTATTTTCTTGCATTCTTACTAAGATATTGGAAAGTGTTTGACCTTTTTGGCTTTCTTAGTAAGTATAGACTATTTATTTGTTCGTTAATCTTTTTACTTATTTCTGCAATCTCTTTACATTTCTCTTTAGTTTTCATACCTCGTAGAAGCTCTTTCTATTCCTTAAATAGTTTAGTTGTGTCTGGTGGTGATTGTTTGTATATACTTTTCTGTCTTCAGTTTTTAGGATATTTCCAAAATCGCAATATTTTTCCTAAATTAATTTATTGTATTTATCTTCTCGTCTATCTAGAATTTCTTTTTAGTTATTCATTAGCTCCGCGTTATTTTCGATATTCATATAGGGTCAATCTAGTTTGCAACCCTTTTGATTTTTCTTAATATGTATCCTTCGCAACATAGTACGAATTATTTTATGAACAGACTGGACTTTAAAAACTTTTGATTTATTGGTCACAATATAATCGATTTTATTTCTATGCAATTTATTTTGAGAAGTCCACTTCCATTTTCATTTTGTAGAAGCTTTTCATGATACTTTTCTAAACATAAGTCTTTATCTTTCTTCATTTTTGCTCTTGTTGTTCCATAACCGTATTTTGCCTCAGTATACTCTTCGTCTCTGTGGCGTACACCAATTTGTCCATTTAAATCATCAATTTTATAATATTTTTGTGAGCAGTATTAACTTTTCTTAGCAATTTTTGATAGAAGTCTCTTATTTGTCTGCATCTTCTTTTTTATCTTCTTAATTGGTGAGTATGCCTGAATAATTGACCAATATTCATCTCTGCTATTTTGCACGGGAAGTTTAATTTTGTGAAAATTGCTATTTTTCCGGATATTCCTTTCAATTCTTCTATTTGGTCAGTATCCGTTTTGTCCAAAAACTACCACCACTATATTTCCCTGGTGTTTTTCCTTTTTAATGTAATTTATACTCTCTGTGGTCTTCTATTAATTTTTCTTATCTTCTTATTTAGCTTATTCCAATAATATCCCATTTAATTTCTTTTATTACTGTTTCTAGGTCAATGAGTTCCTCTGGGGTTCTTAGTGATCGTGTGTTGAGTGACGCTATGTGAGTGTCAATTTTTTTTGATTATCTAACCTAAGAGGGTGTCAGTTGTTTCCCCCACGATGACAAGTCGCCTAAGGGGAGGGTATTTTTTCTTGTTATAGGTATTTTTTGTCTTTTTTGTATTGTTATATTTTCCGTTTGCCGTTAGATAGTTGCTATTGTTGCTTGTATGTAGTGACGTCAGTAAGAAAGTTGGATCTGTTTCTCGTCACATCAATTGCGTTGGTTCTATAGGTTTTAAAGGGCAGGGAGGTTTACTGTTTTTTAGGTCTAATGTCCTTAAAACCAGCAGTGAAATGCGGCGAAGAAGAATTTTCCGTTTTTATTTTATTTTCGCTTACTACAAGCTTTTTATATTTAAAATACGCTATTTTTCCCTTCCTCATTTCTTCTATCAGCTCCGCATGTAAAGCTTTCCTTTTAGCTAGAATTACCCTTGGATACTGTTCACTGACATATATCTTCTTAAGATGCTTTTTATTTCTCCATTATCTCTCTCTTTTCCAATTAATATATATAATAAAAATAGGAAATAATAGAGGACTGGCTTTGGTTTATTTCCTTCTAAATTTCTACGCTCTATTTGCTTTAGTATATTGTTTTTTTTTTCATTTCCTTCGATATCAATGTTCATGTCGCTTTTGAAGGTTTTTTAATAATAATTATTAGTTTCAATGTTGATTTTTCTATTTCATCCTCGCCAAATATAATTGTAATGATTTTTTTTCCTCTTTTTAAATATCCTCTGTCTATTTCTTGAGTTTTTACGTTTAATTTTAAGCTTTTACTTTCATTTATAATCGGGATTAATTTATCATCCATTGTAGTCATTATTTTATTTATAAAAGATTCGGAAAGTTCCCTAGATTAATGTTGCATTTCTAATTAATTTCTATTGAAAAAAAGTTGAAATTGTGCCTACATTTTTATTAAGTTTGCTTGGGACAAAACGTAATGGTAGAAACTATTAAGTGGGTGATAGACGTACGAACTTAAAGTAGGCGGTTTCTAAGATCGCGAACTTACTTGGTTCGACGTCGGCGACACACGCGCCAACTTACTCATACCGTATCGCGATGTCGTCCACTGAAGAAGCTTTGTGTTATTTAGGAATTATATCGTATTACATTTCAAAAACTAAAAACAATAGACGAAGGCGAAAAGTGTGGGTTAAGAACTGGCTTACAAAAAGAGAGCGTTTATCACATGTGAATTTAGTAAGATAGTTACGTGAAGAGAAGGAAGATTTCCAGAATTATTTCAGAATGCCTGAGCCTGTGTATGAAGAACTTTTGTGTTTAGTCACACCAATTATAGCTAAACGAAATTTTAACTAAGTGTTACCAAATTATAGCTAAGTGAAATAGCTTCTCTCATGCAAGTATCCTACTTGCATGAGAGAAGCTATTTCACCGCATGAACGTTTAAGTCCAACATTACGATTTTTGAGAACTGGTGGAACATATAAAGATGTAATGTATTCGTCAGCGATATCAAGACAGTCATTGGGATACATAATTCCTGAGACATGTGACGCAATCTACTCTGCACTGAAAACATATTTGAAGGTATGTATCATTTATTACATACTTTATAAACAAAATAACTCAGTACAAATAATCAGACTTTATTTTGCAATGGCACATTAACATTAATGCTTAACAAAAAATTTACTCTTGAACATATACAAATGTAACGTACTATTTTATTTATTTTTAGTTATTATTATTAAAGTTTAAATATTTAACCAGGGTGTCCGGGATACTAATAGTTTGCGAGTCTTGTGTCAAGTTAAATGCTTGTGTTTCTTGCAGCTGGACTGGAACAGCTGGCATGTGTATCAATGTTCTTTGGGGTACCTGAACTGGAACTGGATTATGTATACTTGTATTGAATGTTAATTTTTTAAACCGTCCTAAAAAAGTAACTTCATTGATGAGCTTTTCAGCTATGCCTTGTTGAATAGCAGTCATGTTGCGGAGTTTAATTGCGTCATTTTTTCCTATAGCATCATATTCATCATCTGGGTTTTGTAATCTTTTACCTATTAACGATATTGTGTCTTCAATGGCGGCATTGCCGTGTCGCTTACGACGTGCAGATGAAGCAACAGATGTTGCAGGTGTCACAGGTGATGACACGTTGCAAATGGTACTCTGTAAATAAAAATGATATCATTTATACTGAATTATGGTTTTTTTTGTTACAGTTCCCGAGTTCAGAAGAAGAATGGCTAGCAATTGCTGAAGAGTGTGAGCGTACATGGCAATTTCCAAATTGTTTAGGAGCCGTCGATGGGAAACATGTAGCTATAGTCCCTCCTGCCGGAGCCGGCTCACATTTTTTTAATTATAAAGGGTATCACAGTATTGTACTTATGGGAATTGCAAATGCAAATTATGAATTTATTTATGGTGTATATGTATATGAGGTGTATTACAAAAAACTACATTCTTTCAAAGATTGAATTCCAAGCGCTTAAATCTTCCTAGCCCCAGAAAACCAAGCGGTCATTCAGAAGAATTGCCTTATGTATTTATTGGCGACGTGGCTTTTGCTTTGAGGACAGATTTAATGAAACCGTACCCAAAAAGGCAATCACAGGCTAGCTCAAGTAAGAGGATATACAATTATAGAGTATGCAGGGCTAGAAGAATTATAGAAAATGTTTTTGGAATTCAGGCGGCAAGATTCCACATTTTTTGATCGCCTATAAATACCAGTGTGCACAATATTAACAAAATAGTTTTGGCATGTTGTGCATTGCACAATTTTTTAAGGAAAAAATTAAGACAAGCTTACAGTCCACATCAGTACTTAGATAGTGAAAATCAAGAAAATGGAACTATTGAATTGGGGCTGAGACCACAAAATGGAGAATTACAGTCACCACAACAAACACATAGTCGTAACCCCACTCAAAATGCAAAAATTATCAGAGAAAAGTATGAAACCTACTTTAATACTAGTGGTGCAGTGTCATGGCAACAAAGAATGATATAATAATAGTATTTTTACCTGGGTATCATTTTCACTATGTTCAGCATCAAATGTATTTTCATTATCATTAGCTGTCTCCGGTTCGCTGCTGTCTATATTGTCAGTTGATTGTTCACCTGTAATTAAATAAAAACCCTCTAAATTTACTTTTGGTTTTAATGTTCAACATCACATTGTCATTATTGTAATGAAACAAAGTGCTATAATAGGTACTCTATTTTAGGTACCTACCTAATTTAGGCAAAGGCATAACAAAGAATACGCACGTATAATATAATAGTGTATAGAGAAATTCTTTAATAAATAATTAAACTTACCTTGGCCTTGATCTTTGAGAAATTCAAGCTGACTGTAATACCATAATTTTGGCAGGTATACCTGGTCAGTTCCTGAACCTGTCTTCTTGCTATCTTGTACTTTTTTATGTTCTTTTCGGAACCCAGCCCTTAATGAATTAATTTTTTTCTTGACGTTCTCAATCGTAGCATCTCTTTCTACCTTCCGTATAATTTCTAATAAATTATTGTATGCTTGAAGCTTCAAATTTTTGTCTTTGTAGTCGTTGCTTCTAATTTTCCAAAGACAAGGGTTATTTCGGAAAGCTTCTATAAATTCGGTTAGCAGTTCATGCGAATAAGTTCGAAAATCACACATTTTGAGAAATTTCTGAATCAAAATTAACAAAAATTGCAATTTAAACAAGCGTGCGCGTCCACGGACTGGCGAAACAAAATGGCGGCTCGCGGCTCGCAGTGCTGCCACACGTACGAGCCAAGACGAGCTACGAATAACATATTAAACCGGTTGGATCGCCGACGAACTTACTCGGCGGTTTTAAAGTACGCGTACTTACGGTGACACACGAGCGAATAAGGTCGTCGAGCCATAAGTACGCGTACTTGCTCGCCCGTCTATCACTCTAGAATGTTTTTTCAACATTTGCAACACTAACGTAAATGCTAGTCATTTGCTGTTACAGTGACTTTTCCAGCAATGTAAAAGTCACAGGGTATATAGAATCTATAATGTAATTTTGTCTGATAAAATTACTTGTGAAATGTTTTCTCTACGTGTCGTGTCTAACCTCAAAATATTTTTGATACATTTCCTTCTTTCTTGTGATGTAATGTGCAGGTTTCACTCTCGTTAATATCTCCAACACTTTAAGGCCTTATTTTGTTGTAGTGCGGTAATACTCTTGAGTGTATGATATTAAGAACTAATTTTTAGCACGACTTTAGCCGGATTTAGCCTTTAGATGTTTACACTTCGAAGCCCGGAAACTGATTTTAAATTATAAACTTTAAATTATTCATTATATTTACGCGAATACTACACATGGCTTAAAACCAATTTTACGAATATTATCGCGTTTGATTTTAACTTTTTTAATTCCCGACGTTTTAGGTACTTTACAGTACTCATGGTCATGGGGGCGGGAGACTGATTGAATTTACGTCGAGATTTAATTAACAGATCGTTAGTTGTTTTAAGCACATTCTGTCTGTTTTGACCTTTTTTGTTTGATAAAATTAAAACTTTTGTCCGATAAAAGTAGAACTTAATAATAATAATAATTAAATGAAGAAGATTGCTGGATGCAACAATCTACTTGGGATCCCGTTGTGAATACAATAAAATTTAAATTCAAGCATTTTACTGCAAGACTTCAAGATGCTGTATGTTCATTCTGCTTTGGTTACAAGAAACATTAATAATTAAATGTTGAAGGTAGCCTTTGTTAACATCAGGACGTCAAACACTCCTGCTGCCTCCGTGACCATGGGTGCTGAGTGCATTACATTAAAAAAGTTATAATCAAACCCGATAAAATCCGTAAAATCTATTTTATCTTATGAACTTTTACTTTTGGATGAATAGCTCAAATATTGCTGATAATAAATAATAGTTTAAAAAAACACGCTTTTGTAGATAACCGAACTAAGAACTAGAAAATAATTTTCAATAAGTTTAAAATAGGAAAATAGTGATTAACATAAAAATAATTTTATTGTATAAAAGCGTAGGGGGCTTGATGTCATTCAACTTCTACCTGTTGGTCACTTTTTTCTTATTTTCATTATCATCATCATTACAGCCTTTCATAAGTCCACTGCTAAACATAGGCCTCCCCCAAGGAAAGCCACAAAGCACGGTCCTGAGCCACCTGCATCCGTCGACTTCCTGCATGTCTTACCAAGTCGTCACTCCATCTCGTGTGGGGTCGCCCTACACTTCGCCTACCGGTACGAGACTGCCACTCGAGAACCTTTCTTCCCCATCGGTTGTCGGTTCTTCGAGCTATATGGCCGGCCCATTGCCACTATAGCTTACTAATCCGTTGGGCTATGTCGGTTACTCTGGTTCTACTGCTGATATCCTCATTCCTAAGTTTATCACGCAGAGAAACTCCGAGCATAGCCCTCTCCATAGCTAGCTGAGCGACCTTGAGCTTCCTCATACGGCCAGCAGTGAAGGACCACGTCTCAGTTCCGCAAGTCATCACTGGCAACACGCACTGGTTGTACGATTTCGTTTTAAAGTTTTGAGGTATGTCTTACGAGATGTGTCGTAGCTTCCCTAACGCTGCCCAGCCGATTGACCTCTCGGTCGAAGTTGGATTTACCTAGTCGGATTATTTGTCCCAGGTAAACATACTCGTCAACAACTTCGAGCTTAGTTCTCCCAACAACTACCGGCATAGGTGTGACATGGACATTAAACATAATCTTTGTTTTGTCCATGTTCATCTTAAGACCTATCCGTTGGGAGACACTAGTGAGGTCATTGAGCATAGTGCTTAGGTCCTCCAGCGATTCTGCCATAAGGACTATATCGTCGGCAAATCTAAGATGAGTTATGTACTCGCCATTGATGTTAAAACCGTATCCTTTCCAGTCCAGAAGCTTAAAAAGGTCTTCCAATGCAGCGGTGAAGAGTTTCGGGGATATAACATCACCCTGTCTTACACCTCTCTGCAATTGGATAGGTTTGGTACTCTGGTTCTGTACCCGGATAGCCATCGTAGCTCTTCTGTACAAACACTTCAGCACTTCGATATAACGGACTTCTGTACAATTTGCCGAAGGGTATATATGTGGTCTATGGTGCTAAAGCCCTTTCGGAAACCGACTTGTTCGGGAGGCTGGAAGTCGTCAAGTCTGCGCGCGAGACAATTCATAATGACTCTCGAAAACAGCACGTAGACGCGGCTCACAAGAGAAATCGATCTGTAGTTCTTCAAGCTAGCGTTGTCACCTTTCTTGAAGAACAAGACCACCGCACTTCTGCTCCACGCCTCCGGTGTAATGCCACCATGGAGGTTTGAATTAAAGACCTTCTGAAGGACTTTCAGTACTGGTCTTCCACCCACTTTCAGAAGCTCCGCTGTAATTCTATCCTCGCCTGGGGCCTTGCCGTTTTTAAGGTGCTGGAGAGCCATTCTAATCTCGCTCAGACTGACTTACGAGATATCTTCGGAATAGTGTCGGATAAGACTCCCTCTTGGATCGTTACTCACACTTGCGTGTGGCTCCAACGATGACGTGTACAGCTGCCCATAGAACCTCTCAATCGCACTCAAAATCTCAGGTGTCGAGGAAACTATGCTGCCACATTCGATCTTCAGCTTTGACAGTTGGCTTTTTCTGGCGCACAGATCTCTGGCAAAGACTTTGGAGCCTTGGTTCCGCTCGATTGCTTCTTCAATATAAGCTGTATTGAAGTTGCGTAAGTCCCGCCGCATGCATTTGTAGATCTGACTGTTCAGTTGCCTGTATGCTGTCAAATCTGTTGAAGAATGTAGCTTCATCTCCAGTTTTTGTGTTTTTCTGCGGCGGGTCTTGCAGAACTTACCTCCGACCGCATGGACAGTTTCCACGAGCTTGTCAGTCATATCGTCCACTTCATTGCAGTTCAAGGCACTGAAAACGGTGTTGTAACTCGAGCTGAAAGGTTTCGCGACTTTGAAACAGAGCACAAGGGGAACGGAGCGTTGACTTCATTAGACGAGACCTCTCCAACTTAACGTTTAGGTTCAGTGTGCATCTAATCATTCGGTGATCGCTACCAGTTTTCACCCTCGCGATCACGGAGACATCACTGAACAGTTGTCGTCTGGTCGTCATAATAAAGTCAATCTCATTTTTTTTCGAACCGTCGGGGCTCGACCAGGTCCACTTCCTGTGGGGCCGCTTCTGGAAGAAAGAGTTTATCATAAAGAGACCCTCTTTCTCCATGAAGTAGGCCAGCTGCTGGCCCCTTGGGTTCCGTTGCCCTATTCCAAATTTCCCTACTTTCAGCTCACCGTTCTCCCTTGTGCCTAGTTTTGCATTGAAGTCTCCGATTAACACCGTATATTGGGTTTTGGAGGAATGCGTGGCTTTAGAGATATCCTCATACATTTCCTCCACCTCCTCATCGGGGTGTACCGAGGTTGGCGCGTAAACCTGTATGACCTTCAGCGAATACCGTTTGGTGATTCTGAGTATGAGGTACGCAACCCTCGTCGACACACTCCCGATCTTTACAACTTTGTTAACGAGAGACTTGTGGACGATAAATCCGACACCTCCTTGGGACAGATGGTCGCCCTCCCGGTGATAGAACAAATTGCCAGATTCGAGGATTACCGTGTCCTCCCCCTCTTTTCGGACTTCGGATAATCCTATAATATGCCAGCGCAACTTGTCTATATCTTCTTCCAGCTCCACGATCTTCTCGTCAGTCCTCAGGGTGTGTGCGTTGTATGTTGTCAGGTCGAGTCGTTTTAGGTGGCAACCGAACCTCCACCGGAGATTCTTAGCACCCCTTGCCCCGCCGTTACCATGGTCGCCACCGTAGCCAGGAATGGCGGGGTAGCTGAGGACTGGGGGCCGTCTGTTTGTTGCTTTAATCATTGGGGGGTATTTGCCATAGTTGCCACGCTTGGTGAGCGGGTTAGCAACCGCAGTTTTTTTAGTGTAATTTTGGCTATTATCAGGAAGATGCTGCTGCCCATCTCCTGCCTGTTTCCCTTTGTCGCCTTTTACGACTCCCACGGGAAGATATGGGGTAGTGGATATTCTTGACCGCCACTACACGACAATTATTTTAAATTTAATGAATATTATTTTCTAAATTTTAGTTCGGTTATCTACAAAACGTGTTTTTTTAGTTTTTTAACTATTTTTTATTTTCTACTGTTTAGTGCGGCTAACTACAAAAGCGTGTATTTTTGGAACGAAGTTCTTTTACGTGACTTACAGTAGATTGAAATGGCAGAAGTCGTAGATGTTTTTTATGAATTATCCGCCAATTTAGAGGATCCTGGAAAGGGTAATGGGACAAGCTATTTAAATTTTTGTATTATCATCGCTCCTAGATAAGTGTGCGAAGTTGTAAATCAATCCAACGTTTTTAAGGGGATGAAAATCACATTCAAAAATTCCGTTACATAGATACGATCAAGCTAATAAAAGCGTGTTAAAAATGGAAGAGCACGCACCGTCGGGAGCAAGAGGATTTTAAATTTATTACATTAAGTTAAATTGTAAACTAACTTTACCTTTTCCCATGTAATGCTTATGTGATAAAACTGAAGTTAGGAAGGATGTGTCTTCAAAATATAGGGATGCTCACAACACAACCTTTGCTTTGCTCAAATATCTGATTTG